AGAAACGGCTGACGAGGTTGCGGGTGATTCTTCCGCGAGAGCCAACAGGGAGGTCGGTGCCACGGGAAAAGGAATAGACCATTTCACGGAAACAGCGGGAAAGGCCCAGTGGGATGCCGTTGACTACCGTGGCAGTGATGATGTCGGTAAGGGGCCGCGCAAGATCGGCAACCGTTCTTTCGAGGAGCTGTCTGTTTTGCCTCACCTCACGCTTCTGCACGAGGTAATGCGTCTTGAGGCCGACGCCCGTCGGGCGAAGGACATGGCCAAGACGCAGAAAAGGCAGTTGGCACAGCAGCGGGAAAAGTTGTCAGAGTTGATGGGTTGGGTATCGGAGAACCAAGAGGCCTTTGAGCGCGGGATGTCAACCATGAGCCGCATCGACGAATCGGATAAGCGCGGGCGGCATGATATTGCTGACGTGGTCCAGGAGATCCGTCCAAGAGAGGGCGAATGCGATGTCGCAAAGGGGAACGTCAGCGCCCTGCCTGCCCTTCACTTCACAACGCATGTTAGAGTCATCTCAAGGCTCACCAATGCACTGGTTGTTCCTCTTGGTGTAGCCGGTCTCACACTCGCAAGCGGCCTTCTGCCCATTCTTCATGACGCACTTGAAGTTCTTGCCGCACTTCACTGTGCGTGCCTTGCACGGGTCCTTCGCTGCCACGGGTAGCAGAAAGAAAGGGGAGGGAGGTAAAATCAGCCTGACAGGCTGGCCATTGGGAAATCTCAAAATCCAGCTCGTTTCACTGTGTGTGCCTTGCAAAGGTCTTTCACTGGCACGGGTAGCAGAAAGAAAGGGGAGGGAGGTAAAATCAGCCTGACAGTCTGGCCGTTGGGAATCACTTTTGAGAATTCTCAGAAGTGATTTTCCAGATCTAGTTCGTTTCACTGTGTGTGCCTTGCAAGGGTCTTTCACTGCCATGGGTAGCAGAAAGAAGGGAGATAAAATCAGCCTGACAGGCTGGCCAAGAGCCAGGGGTCGTTGGTTTGCACCAGGAGCACTGCAAACTAGGATCCAGGGACACATGCACTGGGTTGGTCTGACCCTTTCTTGCTGCCAAGCATGCAGCAGCAGGCAAGACAAAAGTGCAGCAGGAGGCAAGGACAAGCATGCAGCAGGAGGCACAGACAAGCATGCAGCAGGAGCCTTGCAGGCCTTGTTAGCGTCGTCAAGCACGAGGCTCCCAGGGCACTTGCACTGGGTTTGTATGAATCTTTTCGTTTCTGGCAAGCATGCAGCAGGACGCACAGACAAGCATGCAGCAGGAGGCGCAGGCACTTACCAGGAGCAGGAGCCTTCTCGCTGCAGGCCTTGTTAGCCTCGTCAAACACGAGGCTCCCAGGGCACTTGCACTGGGCCGTGCGGTCCTTGAGAACGCACTCTGCAGACCCGCAGTCCTTGTCACACGTGACAGCCGGGGGTACTGCAGAGGGACAGAGACAAAGGATTCAGGCATATAAATGAAAGGGGTGAGAACCCACAGACACACAGACAAATACACAGAGACACACAGACACAGACACAGACACACCCGCACACGCACCGGCACACGCACGCACACACACACACACACACGCGCGCGCGCGCAAGCACACACACACATGCACCCACTCACTCACTCACTCACTCACTCTCACGCACTCCAGCGGTCACCCACATTCCAACACCCACCAGGAATGCACGTCGTGTCAGCTTCTTGGAAGGAAAGGCCATCCTCAAGGCACTTGCACTGGGCAGAGCCAGGCGCCGTCACAACGCACTTGGCACTGTTCCCGCACTCCTTGTTGACACACTCGGCTGCAGGTGGGAGGAGAAGGGGGGTAGTTGGGAAGGGGAAGGGGGGTGGAGAGGTTGGGTTGAATTCTGAGTCGAGACAAGTCAAAAGCCACCTTTTGAGTCGACTCAAGAGGCACTTGCACTGGGTAGAGCCAGGAGCCGTCACGTGGCACTTGGCACTTCTCCCTCACTCCTTGTTGACACACTCACTCGGCTGCGGGGGTAATCATGGGTTGGGCGAGGAATAGTTGGAAAAAGGTGGGTTGGTGCGAGGTAAAGTAGAGAAAGAGTGGGTTGGTAGAGGGAAACAATGCTTATGAGTGTTGAAATACCCGTTTTGCACCAACAATGACCCACAGTCTAGCGGTCACCCTCACTCCAGCACTCACCCACTCTTCCACACTCACAACTCAACCCACACTCAACAACTAGACCACACTCACAATTCACCACAATCAAGTAGTCATTACACTGAACAGCTCAAACCTGTTCCAGCACCCACCAGGAATGCACGTCTTGTCAGCCTCTTGGAAGACCAAACCGTTGTTGCACTGGCACTGGCGCGTGAGATCACCAGTCCTGACGCACTTGGCGCTAGCCCCGCACGGCGAGTTATAACACACGTCTGTGGGAGGGGGTGGGGGGAAGGGGATCAGTTGTATGGGTTGATTTCTGAATCGACTCAAGCCGTCTTTGCTTGGCACTGGCGCGTGAGATCACCCGTCCTGATGCACTTGGCGCTAGCCCGCACGCCGAGTTATAACACACATCTGCGAAGGTGGGGGAGAGGGGGATCATGGGCTGAGTTATGATTCAACTCAAACCATAATTTTATATTGATAGAGAAATGTTGGACTTGCACCCACATTTCAGCTCCCACCAGCGATGCACTCCCTGTCAGATTCGCAGAAGATACTCCCAACCCCGCACTGGCATTCGGCAGAGCCGTTACTCCCGAATATTAAAGGGTTTTACGGTTTCTACTAATCGTTTTCCAGAAAGAATTACTGTTTCGTTCCTTCTGTTGCAAAAAGCGTCACTCTTTAGAAATGCTGCTCTTCCACTATGAGCGAAGAAGACCCCTGGCATTCGGCAGAGCCGTTACTCCCAGATATTGAGACTACTCAAAAGCCAGATTTCAGCACCCACCAACAATGCACCCACCAGCAATGCACGCTGTGTCACGTTCGCGGAAGATTCCCCCGGGCCCGCACTGGCATTCCGCAGAGCCATCACTCCTCACGTTGCACTTGGCAGTAATCCCGCAATCCTTGTTGCCACATACGTCTGTGCCATGGCATGATGGTTTGTTCCGAGGCAAAGTAGGGAAAGCCGGATTCTAGAGGTGGTTTTGAGTCAACTAATAAAACACACACGTTTGCAGGGGACATGGCATGGCATGATGGGTTGTTTAGACATGATGAGTTGTTTAGAGGCGAAGTAGGGAAAGCGGGTTAGCAGAGGGAAGGATTTGCTTATGAGTGCGAGATAAATCCAGTTAACTGGCTTATGAGCACAGTGGATATGCTTATGAGCGTCAATTTAACTGGCTTGCTCCAGCTCTCACCTGCACTCCAGCACTCACACACGCCCACTCTCGCTCACTCACACCCACACTCACCAACAGTGCACGTCTTGTCGGAGTCCCTAAAGAGATAGCAATCGTCACACATGCATTGGGTGGTTTTCCCATCAGGGTTTGCAGAGCACCCACCCACACCAACACTCACAGTCCAGCAGCCACCCACACCCACACACACAGTCCAGCACCCACCCACACCCACACTCACCAACAATGCACGTCTTGTCGGAGTCTCTAAAGAGATAGCCATCGTCACACATGCATTGGGTAGTTTTCCCATCAGGGTTTGCAGAGCACCTTGCAATCTTACCGCAATCCACATCGGCACACAAGTCTGCAGGGGAAGTGATGTATGTATGGGTTGATCGGAAGAAAGGATTTGTCTGTGAGCATGCGCTCAAACACTCTGCTCAAGCATTTAACCACACTCCACTACCACTCACCCACATTCGAAAACCCACCAACAATGCATGTCTTCTCGTATTCGTCGAAAGCAATGCTCTTCTCGCACACGCAGTGGGAGTTGACTTTAGGGTCGACTCAAAACTCATTTTACACTCCACCATTCGCCCACACTCCACCATTCGCCCACACTCCACCATTCGCCCACACTCCACCACTCACACACACTCTCAACCATTCACCCACCCTCTATCACTCACACACACTCTCAACCACTCACCCACCCTCCATCACTCACACACACTCTCAACCACTCACCCACCCTCCATCACTCACACACACTCTCAACCACTCACCCACCCTCCACTCACACACACTCTCAACCACTCACCCACACTCCACCACTCACCAACAATGCATGTCTTCTCGTATACGTCATAAACAAAGCCCCTCTCGCACACGCAGTGGGGGTACCTATTTCAGCCCAGGGCACACATAGTGGCAGTTTGCTCGCAATCAGAGTCACTCACACTCCACCACCCACTAACAACCACACTCACCAACAATGCATGTCTTCTCGTATACGTCGTAAACAAAGCCCCTCTCGCACACGCAGTGGGGGTCGCCATCCCGGTCCAGGGCGCACTTTGCAGTGTGCCCGCAATCATAGTTGACACACTTGGCTGCAAGGGAAAGCATGGGTTGTTCAAAGGTAAAGTAGGGAAAGCGGCTCACTTGACTGTGAGGGACGTCATGGGCTAGGCAAAGCCCCTCTCGCACATGCAATGTCGCATGACATTATATCCAGGTGAGTTTTGAGTCGACTCAAACGTCATGGGCTAGGCAAAGCCCCTGCGCACACGCAATAAGGATCTCCATTCCCTGTCCAGGGCGCACTTTGAGGTCTGCCCGCAGAAATAGTCGACACACTTGACTGCGAGGGGAATCACGGGTTGTTCCAAGGAGAAGTAGGGAAAGCGAAATAGGGGGTTACTACTTTGAGGCGCCTCAAAGGTCTCACTTGATTGCAAGAGAAATCATGGATGATGTTCCGAGGAAATGTAGGGAAAACGGATTAGGGTGTTCGTCGGACGTACGTCACTTGTACTTTCCACACGGTTTCTTTGCGGATTAGGGAATTCGTTGCATCTGGGTGCAAAACGGTAAAGGTAAAAAGAACCACTTCTCACCGTGTGGAACCACCCTGAGCCGCAAGATGAACTGCAAATGTATGACCTACAGACCCCCTCGGTAGAGAGGAAGAACTGCGTACGAGCGTGCATTTAACGTCTGTGCTCCAGTTTTCACGCACACTCTAACACTCATGCACATTCTATCACTCACGCACACTCTATCACTCACGCACACTCTATCACTCACGCACACTCTATCACTCACACACACTCCATCACTCACACACACTCCATCACTCACGCACACTCTATCACTCACCCACACCACCCTCATAGCGGCTCCCTGAATCCAGCACTCATCACCGGGACTGCGCGTCTTCTAAACACTCAAAACTTTACCGCAACCCCATCTCAACACTTCAGACAGCACACCCCCGAATCCTGCACTCACCACCTCACCAGGACTGCACTCACCAGGACTGCACTCACCAGGACTGCACTCACCAGGACTGCACTCACCAGGACTGCACTCACCAGGACTGCACTCACCAGGACTGCACTCACCAGGACTGCACTCACCAGGACTGCACTCACCAGGACTGCACTCACCAGGACTGCACTCACCAGGACTGCACTCACCAGGACTGCACGTCTTCTGAACTGGGTCTTGGATGAACCCATCACCGCACCGACAGTTGGGCTTGCCATTGCTGAGCACGACGCAGGTTGCATTCGGAGCACAGACCACTGGCGTGCACGCGTCTGCAGGTTCGATAGGGGGCGTTGCGAGGGAACTTGGAATGAGTCCCTTTGAGTTTCTTTGCGTCCCTTTTCCCGTGCCTGGAGGGGGAAAGCTTTATTATTCGGATGCAAAGGTGCGAAAGGGGGAAATAATTCGGCAGATTATTTGTATGGCCGTGTGCACTCAGCCACGCCACGCGGCAACCCTCACCGCGAGTGCACGTATTGACAAAGGCAGTCGGTTGGTAGCGCCATTTGTCCTCAAATGCATGAAGCACACACTCGTCCACACCACCACATGGCAACACTCACTCACCGTGAATGCACGTCTTGGTTGCATCGTCGAAGCGAGAATCATCGACACAATGGCAGCCGGTAGCACCGTCTCTCCTCGCAACACAACGCATGAAGCACACACTCATTCGCACCACACCAAATGGCAACACTCTAAACCCGAAACCTCAAACCCTCACCGTGAATGCACGTCTTGGTCGCATCGTCGAAGCGAGTATCATCGAAGCAAAGGCACTTTTTGGAACCATCATCCATCAAAGAGCAATAAGCACTCCTCCCACAGTCAACGTTGGCACACGCGGCTGCAGGGGGGATCAGTAAGAGTTGTTGTTCCAAGAAAGAGAGAGAAAGAGGGTTAGAAGAAGATGGGAGATTTTTGCTCACCCACACTCTTGAACTCACTCACACTCTTGCACTCACCCACACTCTTGCACTCACTCGCACCCTTGCACTCACTCGCACCCTTGCACTCACTCGCACCCTTGCACTCACTCGCACCCTTGCACTCACTCGCACCCTTGCACTCACTCGCACCCTTGCACTCACTCGCACCCTTGCACTCACTCGCACCCTTGCACTCACTCGCACCCTTGCACTCACTCGCACCCTTGCACTCACTCGCACCCTTGCACTCACTCGCACCCTTGCACTCACTCGCACCCTTGCACTCACTCGCACCCTTGCACTCACTCGCACCCTTGCACTCACTCGCACCCTTGCACTCACTCGCACCCTTGCACTCACTCGCACCCTTGCACTCACTCGCACCCTTGCACTCACTCGCACCCTTGCACTCACTCGCACCCTTGCACTCACTCGCACCCTTGCACTCACTCGCACCCTTGCACTCACTCGCACCCTTGCACTCACTCGCACCCTTGCACTCACTCGCACCCTTGCACTCACTCGCACCCTTGCACTCCCACTCTTGCACTCCCACTCTTGCACTCGCACTCTCGCACTCGCACTCTCGCACTCGCACTCTTGCATTCACTCACACCCTAGCTCTCTCTCGCCACCCGCCACCCACACTCAAGCACTCACTCCCACACAAGAAGTTCCCACAAACAGGAAATCACCACACTCAACATCTCCACCCCTGCTTCACCACTCACCCAAACTCCAACACTCACGCATATCCCACCACTCACCCAAACTCCAACACTCACGCATATCCCACCACTCACCCAAACTCCAACACTCACGCATATCCCACCACTCACCCAAACTCCAACACTCACGCATATCCCACCACTCACCCAAACTCCAACACTCACGCATATCCCACCACTCACCCATACTCCAACACTCACGCATATCCCACCTCCAACACTCACGCATATCCCACCACTCACCCAAACTCCAACACTTACGCATATCCCACCACTCACCCAAACTCCAACACTTACGCATATCCCACCACTCACCCATACTCCAACACTCACGCATGTCCCACCACTCACCCATACTCCAACACTCACGCATGTCCCACCACTCACCCAAACTCCAACACTCACGCATATCCCACCACTCACCCAAACTCCAACACTCACGCATATCCCACCACTCACCCAAACTCCAACACTCACGCATATCCCACCACTCACCCATACTCCAACACTCACTCATATCCCACCTCCAACACTCACGCATATCCCACCACTCACCCAAACTCCAACACTCACGCATATCCCACACCACTCACCCATACTCCAACACTCACGCATATCCCACCTCCAACACTCACGCATATCCCACCACTCACCCAAACTCCAACACTCACGCATATCCCACCACTCACCCATACTCCATTGCTCACCAGGAATGCACGTCAAGCCAGGTTCGTAGTAAATGAAGCCATCCTCACACAGGCATGTGCGAGTGTTGTTCACGTTCCCCACACACGTTACACCAAACCCACGCGGCGATTTTCCACACGGGTCTGCGGGGATGGGGGGGATCATCATGCGTTGATTTGTGCCTTTTGAGTCAACTCAAAACACAGACATGTGCGAGTGCCGTTCCCGTTCCCCACGCACGTTACACCAAACCCGCAAAACGATTTGTCACACAGGTCTGCGGGGGTGGGGGAGATCATGGATTGATTTTTGAGTTGACCCCAAAGCGCACTTTGCACTCGGGCCGCAACGTGAGCTGGCACACACACACGGGTCTGTGGGGAAGGGGTGTGGGTGAGTGTTGAGGTGGAGGAAAAGTAGAGAAAGCGGGTTGGTCCCACAGATGTTTTACAAATCATCATGGGTTGATTTATAAAACACACAGTACATCTAGCACGCAACGCGAGCTGGCTGGCACACACATCTGTGGGTGGGGGGAATCATGGTTGTTCCGAGGAGGATGGTGAGAAGTATGAAGGCGAGAAGCAGGAGGGAAGAGCATGGAAAGCAAGAGAATGAAACCCCATGCAGGCGAGAAGCAACAGGGTGCGAAGCAACCGGGTGCGAAGCAAGAGCGTGAAAAGCAGGAGGGTGAGAAGCAAGAGCGTGAGAAGCAAGAGGGTGAGGAAGAAAGGCGAGTAGCAAGCGGGTTGAGAAGTAAGAGGGTGAAAAGCAAGAGTGAATACCGTCACTAGGCGGAATGATATAGCATATAATTTGTATGACCGTGCACTGATCACATCAATGCTTGCACATGAATCACACTCGCACAATCAGACACACCATGCCAGTCAGGCACATCATGCAACAACCCTCACCGTGAATGAATGCACGACTTGGCAAAGGCAAACGGTTAGTAGTGCCATCATTCCTCAAAATGCAACGCATGAAGTGCATTGCACTCATCCACACCACATGTTTCGAGTCGACTCAAAACATCCACACCGCACGGCAACACCACTCACCGTGAATGCACGTCTTGGTAGCATTGTCGAAGCGCGAATCATCCAAACAGAAGCAGTCGGTAGCGCCGTCTTTCCTCACAACGCATGAAGCACACTCACTCATCCACACCACACCGCACGGCAACACTCACTCACGCACCGTGAATGCACGTCTTGGTAGCATCGTGGAAGCGCGAGTCATCGTAGCACTGGCACTTGGCAGAGCCGTCATCCTTCACAACGCACTCAGCACTCGGCCCACAGTAAACGACGGCACACGGGTCTGCAGGGGGTTAGAAGAAAGGCAGGGGTTTAAAAGAATGGCACGGGGATCAGAGTTGGTTGTTCCAATGCGAGGTAAAGCTAGAAAAAGGGGGTAAGAGAAAGGGATTTTTTTCTTATGACCACACACTAACCGCCGCTCTAGCACTCACCCACAGTTCAGCCCTCTCCCACACTCAAGCACAACTACACTCCCGCACATGCTCAATTGAAATCACTTTTGAGAATTCTCAAATGTGATTTCAACACAACCACACTCCAACCCTCACCCGCACATGCTCAAGCCCTCTCCTAAACTCGAGCCCTTACCCTAAACTTTAAGCCCTCAGCCACACCCACACACCAACACCCACCAGGGTTACACGTCTTGCCAATCTCCTTTAAGATAAAACCTTCCTCGCACTTTTGAGCCAACTCACAAGCCACCTCGTTACAATGGCACACGGCCTTTTTGAGTCGACGCAAAAATTACCCGCACACCAACCAACACAACACAACGCCCACCCACCAGGGTAGCACGTCTTGCCAATCTCCTCGAAGAGATAACCCTCCTTGCACTTGCACTGGGCAGTCCCATCACTCATCAAGCTACACGTTGCGCTTTGCCCGCAATCAAGCCTGGCACAAATTTCTGCAGGGCAAGTCAGTCATAAGTATGGGTTGTTTTTTCGAGGCAAAGTAAGTAGGGAGATCGGGTTGGTAGAGGAGAACATCTGATCATGAGCGAGCGGCATTCCATTCCATAGCTGAGCTCCAGCCTACAGTATTCACACACACTAGAGCACTCACTCACACACAAGACGTTTTCACAATCAAAAAGTCACCACGTTCACCCTTGCTCTAGCACTAACCCACACCCGCACCACCCTCCAGCACTCACCCGGAATCCAACACCCACCAGGAAGGCACGTCCTGTCATCTGCATTGAAGAAAAAGCCGTCCTGGCACTGGCACGTGCGAGTGCCGTCGCTGTTCCTGATGCACTCTGCAAGGCCGCAATGCTGGTTCTTACATGGATCTGTGGGGGTGGGTGGGGGGAAGCATGGGTTGATATTTGAGTCGACCCATGGCATGTGTGAGTGTACTCGTTGTTCCCAATGCACTGTGCAGTTGACCCGCACTGCGAATGACTTTTGAGGCGCCTCAAAAGTTGACCCGCACTGCGAATTGGTTCACACGTCTGCAGGGGGGATCACGGGTTGTTCCGAGGAAAAGTAGGGAAAGAGGATTAGTAGAGAGGAAGGACTGCTTATGAGCATGCATTTAACCTCTGTGCCACAGCGTTCACCCTCACTCCAGAACTCACCCTCACTCCAGCACTCATCCTCACTCCAGCACTCACCCTCACTCCAGCACTCACCCTCACTCCAGCACTCACCCTCACTCCAGCACTCACCCTCACTCCAGCACTCACCCTCACTCCAGCACTTACCCACACTCCAACACTCACCCACACTCCAACACTCACCCACACTCCAACAATCACCACACTCCAACACGCACCAGGAACGCACATCCTGTCAGATTCTATGAAGAAAAAGCCGTTCCGGCAGTGGCACGTGTGAGTGCTGTCGTAGATCCTGATGCACTCTCCAAAGGGCCCGCAAGGCGAGTTGGCACATGGGTCTGTGGCGGTGGGGAAAAGCATGGGTTGATATTTGAGTCGACCCATGGCATGTGTGAGTGCCGTTGCTGTTCCCGATGCACTGTGCAAAGGGCCCGCAAGGCGAGCTGGCACACGGGTCTGTGGGGGGGATCATGGGTTGTTCCGAGGAAAAGTAGAACAAGTGGGTTAGTAGAAAGGAAGAACTGCAACTGCTTATGAGTATGCATTTAACCTCTGAGCCACAGCACTCACTCACACTCCAACACTCACCACACTCCAACACTCACCACACTCCAACACTCACCACGCTCCAACACTCACCACGCTCCAACACTCACCACGCTCCAACACCCACCAGGAATGCACGTCTTGTCCGATTCTTTGAAGAAAAAGCCGTCCTGGCACTGGCACGTGCGAGTGCCGTTGCTGTTCCTGATGCACAGTGCAGTTGACCCGCAGGGCGAGTTGGCACATGGGTCTGCCAGGGGGGATAATGGGTTTGTTTGAGAATTATTAGGGCAAGCGGCATTTAACTAGTAGAGAGGAAGAACTGCTTACGAGCATGCATCTAACCTCTGCGCCACAGCGCTCACCCACACTCCAGCGCTCACCCACACTCCAGCACTCACCCACACTCCAGCGCTCACCCACACTCCAGCACTCACCAGGAATGCACGTCCTGGAATCTTCTATGAAGATGAGGTCACCCCGGCACTGGCATGTGTAAGAGTAGTCGGTGACCCTGATGCACTTTGCAGTTGACCCGCAGGGTGAGTTGGCACATGAGTCTGCAGGGGGGGTCATGGGTCGTTCCGAGGAAAAGTAGGGAAAGCAGGTTAGTAGAGAGGAAGAACTGCGTATGAGCATGCATTTAACTCTGCGCCACAGCGTTCACCCACACTCCAGCGTTCACCCACACTCCAGCGTTCACCCACACTCCAGCGTTCACCCACACTCCAGCGTTCACCCACACTCCAGCGTTCACCCACACTCCAGCGTTCACCCACACTCCAGCGTTCACCCACACTCCAGCGTTCACCCACACTCCAGCGTTCACCCACACTCCAGCGTTCACCCACACTCCAGCGTTCACCCACACTCCAACACTCACCAGGGACGCACGTCCTGGAAGCTTCTACGAAGCGATAGCCATACCAGCACTCGCATGTGCGAGTGCCGTTGCTGTTCCTGATGCACAGTGCAGTTGACCCGCAAGGAAAGTCGGCACACGGGTCTGTGGGGGGGGATCATGGGTTGTTTGAGAGAAAATAGGGCAAGCGGCATTTAACCAGCGGCTTATGAGAATTCATTTAACCACTGGGCCGTAGCATTTATCCACACTCCAGTGCTCACCCACACTCCAGCACTCACCCACACTCCAGCACTCACCCACACTCCACCACTCACCCACACTCCACCACTCACCCACACTCCACCACTCACCCACACTCCACCACTCACCCACACTCCACCACTCACCCACACTCCACCACTTACCCACACTCCACCACTCACCCACACTCCACCACTCACCCACACTCCACCACTCACCCACACTCCACCACTCACCCACACTCCACCACTCACCCACACTCCACCACTCACCCACACTCCACCACTCACCCACACTCCACCACTCACCCACACTCCACCACTCACCCACACTCCACCACTCACCCACACTCCACCACTCACCCACACTCCACCACTCACCCACACTCCACCACTCACCCACACTCCACCACTCACCCACACTCCACCACTCACCCACACTCCACCACTCACCCACACTCCACCACTCACCCACACTCCACCACTCACCCACACTCCACCACTCACCCACACTCCACCACTCACCCACACTCCACCACTCACCCACACTCCACCACTCACCCACACTCCAACACTCACCCACACTCCAACCCTCACCCACACTCTCCAGCACAGCAGCCACCCACGCCACAGCATTCAACACAAAACACAGCACTCAACGGTCTATTTTCGTGGGGGGGGAGGGGAGAGGAGGAGGAGTAAGTGAGAAAGAGAGAGTTGGAGCAACATGATCAGCGCCAACACGTTTTTGCACCTAAATGGCACTTTAAAGCACTCAAGAGTGCGGAAGCAAGAGTGGACAGCATGGTCAGTACTAGTACTCACCAGCAGGAGGTGCGGCGCTGGCTTGGGTCACGAGGAAGCGAACGGCAACGAGTGTGAGAAGCTCATGCTTTTACTGAGAAGCATTCGCGAGCACCGCTTGGGTTGGTTGGGTGCCATGGAACGTGGCAGCCAGTCAGTAGTACTCACCAGCAGGAGGTGCGGCGCTGGCAGTGTCATCCTACTCACCATCAGCGGCGCTGGCGTGGGTCGCGAGGAAGCTGATGGCAACGAGACCCGCGACGAGTGCTGCAAGGCCTAGCCGGAGGCCAGACAGCCGCCCGTAGCGCTTCATGACGCCAGGAGAGGCCGAGGAGACAGCCGAAGAACACGGCGAGACGGGAGACGGCCGGAGGAAAACTTGAGATTCTTTCGCGTCAGAAGTTGAAACGTTGGGACTCACGTCACTGGTAGTCGCGACGAGGCACCAGTGCAGAGGCTTGCTACAAGTAGTAGCAGCGCCGGCGGGAGAGATTATTGGGTGGGGTATCGGCGTCGGTGCGAAATAGACGAGATGGAGAGGCACGCAATGAGCGAGCGGCGGTACGAGATTGCAGTGCTGCGGCTTGCTGCTAGCAGCGCTGGCAGGTGAGAGGGATTGGCAGGGGCCTCGACGGTGTGGAGAGACGAGATGGAGAGACAATGAGCGAGCAGCAAAATGAGAGGAAGGGCGAGTGCGGATAGTGGGAATCGATCGTCGTCGATTTATGTGCGGACTGTGACTCGTTTGGGGTGGTCAATCGCACTCGTGCGCGTCGCGGACCCGCGCCGGACGATAATGCAATGCATTTCGTCGCGGAGAAGAGAGGAGGGTGCGTACGCAGGGAGGCGCAGCAGGGACGCTCAGCAATCCGCATCGGGAACGAGCGGGTGGCGAGCGGAGGGGCGATGGGGGGGGGGGGGGGGGGGAAGGGGGGAAGGGGGAGGGGGGAGGGGGAAGGAGGAGGAGGAGGAGGCGTGGGGGGTGGGGGGGTGCGGGGGCTCTTCTACAAGGGGGAACGCAAGTTCCGGAAACGTGCATTCGCTCTACCTTACTACTAGGTCTATGATCGTGTTGGGGACTATTCCTCGTCATGAGGGCCACAACGTGGGGAACGCGAAGGAGGAACAGACGATGGGGGAAGGCGAATTATCGTTGGGGAGGGTAACCAGTGCTTGGCTTTTGAGACGTCTCAAAAGGAGAAATGGGCGACGGGGCGGCGATGGCGGGAGAAATTGTTGAGGAGGGCAGCCAGTGCTAGGCTAGGAAACGCGTTAGGATAGCCATACTATTGGACGAGGGGGTGATTTAAACTGCGCCGAGGCGCAAGGCGGAAAAACAATTCCTCGCGCGCTCGTGATCGCAGAGTTTATGTGCTTCCGCGGCTTGCGGGAGTGATTTATTGGACGAATGCATTTAGCCTGACTGGTTTGCGATGGGATAGTATGGGAGTCAAACGATGGCTCTGGACGCGTTTGGTAACGCCCTTGGCGAATAAGGAGGAGATGGGTTTGTAACATCAGTTCTGTGCACATCTGGTTTTGGCTGCAATTCTTCGCCAGGTTTCGCGTAGGCTCGATGAGTTGTTGGGTTGGACAAGCTTTGACGAAATTGTAACGCGCTTCAATAGTGGTGGAAAACTGGGCAACGATCGCGTGCGGGGTCTCCCGAATGCTGGCGACAGTTCTTTCTAACACGAACCATCATCGTGTTCGTCGCACCTGGTTACTTTCGCACCCGTCGTCGTCACGCATCTGTCGTTCCACAGGTCGACAGGCTCGAAGCCCCCCTCCTCCAGACCCCCGCGTGACCAGCGCCACCGATTTCCGTCGCCAAGGTACGTCGGCCCAGGCGAAGCTTTCCGTCGAAAATCATTCCGCTGGGCCCGCGACTAATTATCGCAAACGCCGTAAAGGACGTTCAATTGATTGTTACAAGGAAACATTCGTTTCCAAACCTAACCATTCCCCCCTCCCCCCACCCCCATCGAACTAGGCGTTGCCAAACGCGTTCAGAGCTTTCGTTTCGCTTTGGGCATTATCCGATATCAGTGATAATAATGCATTCTCCCCCGCAAGTCCCGCAGTTCGCGACTCTGGTGTTCGCAAACGCGCCACTGGTACTGCTAGAAGCGGGCTTCTTTTCGCCCTGCGCCCCGTCGCGTCTGAATTCCGCGTCGTCCAGCCGCACGCCGGGCTTCCTTCCCGTTTCTCGTCATCGCCGCCGCGTTTCTCCTTATGGCGTTTCCCCAAGGCCGTATCACGAAAGTCGCCGCTCTCTCACCCCTTCCCTACGCGGAAATCTGTGCGCCCTTCTGCCTCCTCGCGGACCTCTTCGCAACGAAACGAAACGAAACGCGTTACATAATCATCTGCGAGTCCACAGGCGCGACATAGTCAGATCTATGAACTTATATTTACAAGGGATCAATGTAAGATTGACCACTCTCTCTCCAACTCACAACATATCAACGATCACCTTCGAGCGCCCACCTAATCCCACCCATTCCTCGTCGCAACTACAAAAGTGAATCCCTACAATTCGACTCCTGCCTGGAACGTCAATCCCTAAGTCAGAGAGTTGCAAGAAGCCGAAGGCTTCGCATCGCGCCGTGACCGTCGATCCCCATCTCCCTAACTTTCTCATCCGTCACCTGATGAAGCGCACCGAGCGGCGGTCTGCCGTTGGCGTGGGCGTGGGCGCACTCGTGGCGGGACTCGTTGCACTCAGCCTCCTCGCGACCCAAGCTAGCGCTGGTGAGGAGTGAGTCGGACCGGACGGCTGCCGCCCACCACTACCACGGAAAGGCCATGGCTGCCCACCGGTTGTCACTCCTTGCTTTCCGCACACGTGCTCTTCATCACCCTCTTTCACAAACCCTCGGAGACATCATGCTGCTTCCCACTCACCGCCTCATGCTCACCGTTTTGGAGGCACTCGTGCTGCTCACCCTCCTCTTTTGCCCCCAGCAGACGAGTGCTTCTTTTCCTCTCTTCTTTACCACCTCTTTTGCCCCCGACAGACGAGTGCTTCGGCTTGGATTGCGGGTTCAAGGACTGTCTTTTGAACACTTTTGGCCAACCTGTCTGCATTGGCTCGGGGGAAGAATGGAATCCGGGTAAGGCTGGGAGGGAGGGCTGGAGAGTAGGAGGTGAGAGATGGAGTCGATTTTTTAGTCGACTCAAAAATCGACTTAACTGCGTGGGCTCGGGGGATGAATGAAATCCGGGTAAGACTGGGAGAGAGAGGTGGAGAGTAGGAGGTGAGAGGTGGAGAGTAGTAGTACTAGGTGAGATATGGAGCACTGGAAGGACTGGAGGGTGGGTGAGAGCTGGAGGGTGGGTGAGAGCTGGAGTGTGGGTGAGAGCTGGAGTGTGGGTGAGAGCTGGAGTGTGGGTGAGAGCTGGAGTGTGGGTGAGAGCTGGAGTGTGGGTGAGAGCTGGAGGGTGGGTGAGAGCTGGAGGGTGGAAGTGAGCTGGAGGGTGGATGAGGGCTGGAGGGTGGATGAGAGCTGCGTTGTGGGCAAATACTGGGGCACAGGAGTTAAAATGCATTCACCCCTCCACTGATCCGCTTTCCCTGTCTTGACACGGAACAACTTGTCATTTCCCCTGCAGATGCATGTCTCAGTCAGAACCTGTTTTGCGGGGAAGCAGAGTGCGTCGTGCAGGATGGTACAACACGTTGCCAATGCAAGGAAGGTTTCGTCTTACAAAAAGATACTTACAAGTGCATTGCTGGTGAGTGCTGGAGTGTGGGTGGGTGCGGGAGTGTGGGTGGGTGCGGGAGTGTGGGGCGGGTGCGGGAGTGTGGGTGGGTGCGGGAGTGTGGGTGGGTGCGGGAGTGTGGGGCGGGTGCGGGAGTGTGGGGCGGGTGCGGGAGTGTGGGTGGGTGCGGGAGTGTGGGTGGGTGCGGGAGTGTGGGTGGGTGCGGGAGTGTGGGTGGGTGCGGGAGTGTGGGTGGGTGCGGGAGTGTGGGTGGGTGCGGGAGTGTGGGTGGGTGCGGGAGTGTGGGTCGGTGCGGGAGTGTGGGTGGGTGCGGGAGTGTGGGTGGGTGCGGGAGTGTGGGTGGGTGCGGGAGTGTGGGCGGGTGCGGGAGTGTGGGGCGGGTGCGGGAGTGTGGGTGGGTGCGGGAGTGTGGGTGGGTGCGGGAGTGTGGGGCGGGTGCGGGAGTGTGGGTGGGTGCGGGAGTGTGGGTGGGTGCGGGAGTGTGGGGCGGGTGCGGGAGTGTGGGGCGGGTGCGGGAGTGTGGGTGGGTGCGGGAGTGTGGGTGGGTGCGGGAGTGTGGGTGGGTGCGGGAGTGTGGGTGGGTGCGGGAGTGTGGGTGGGTGCGGGAGTGTGGGTGGGTGCGGGAGTGTGGGTGGGTGCGGGAGTGTGGGTGGGTGCGGGAGTGTGGGTCGGTGCGGGAGTGTGGGTGGGTGCGGGAGTGTGGGTGGGTGCGGGAGTGTGGGTGGGTGCGGGAGTGTGGGCGGGTGCGGGAGTGTGGGCGGGTGCGGGAGTGTGGGCGGGTGCGGGAGTGTGGGCGGGTGCGGGAGTGTGGGCGGGTGCGGGAGTGTGGGCGGGTGCGGGAGTGTGGGTGGGTGCGGGAGTGTGGGTGGGTGCGGGAGTGTGGGTGGGTGCGGGAGTGTGGGTGGGTGCGGGAGTGTGGGGTGGGTGCGGGAGTGTGGGGTGGGTGCGGGAGTGTGGGTGGGTGCGGGAGTGTGGGTGGGTGCGGGAGTGTGGGCGGGTGCGGGAGTGTGGGGCGGGTGCGGGAGTGTGGGCGGGTGCGGGAGTGTGGGCGGGTGCGGGAGTGTGGGCGGGTGCGGGAGTGTGGGCGGGTCGGGTGCGGGAGTGTGGGCGGGTGCGGGAGTGTGGGCGGGTGCGGGAGTGTGGGCGGGTGCAGGAGTGTGGGCGGGTGCGGGAGTGTGGGCAGGTGCGGGAGTGTGGGGCGGGTGCAGGAGTGTGGGGCGGGTGCGGGAGTGTGGGCGGGTGCGGGAGTGTGGGCGGGTGCGGGAGTGTGGGTGGGTGCTGAAGTGAAGGTGGGTGCGGACTAGGGGGTGAAGTGTTATCATTATGATTGTGAAGCAACTGCTTCCTGGATTGTGGGTGGGTGGGTGCTGGAGTGTGGGGTAGTTCACAGATCTAAGCAATGTCGTGATTTTTCAAACTCCTTTGTCGTTTTTTTCCTTAAAACCACCACGAATTTCCCTGCAGACGTGTGTTATAAGTATGATTGCGGGACAGCTGCTTCCTGCTCTGTGGGAGGCGATGGCACTCCCAAGTGCTTGTGCAATGTCAAAGGGCTTATCTACGACAACGAAAAGAGGACATGCAACGGTGAGTGCTAGAGTGTGGGTGAGTGATGAAGTGTGGGTGGGTGTGGGTGCTGGAGTGTGGGTGAGAGGGCGCTGGAACGTGGATTAGAGCACGCGATTAAGCAACATTTAAACTTTCACTGCTCTCTTTCCCCACTTTGCATCAAAACCTTGGCAAATTCCCCTGCAGACGCGTGTTACAAATATGAGTGCGGACCAGCTGCGTCTTGCTCCGTGGGAGGCGATGGCGCTCCCAAGTGCTTGTGCAATGTCAAAGGTCTTATCTACGATGAAAAAGACAAGTCATGCAATGGTGAGTGCTTGAGTGTGGATGAGTGATGGAGTGTGGGTAGGTGGGTAGGAGTGTGGGTGGATAGTTGATGGATTGTGGGTAGGTGGGTTCTGCAGTGGGGGTGGGTGGGTGATGGACCGTGGCTACTCCTGGTAGGTGTCTTTGTCTCTTGCTGCATGTTTTGCCAACAATTTTAATAATTAGCCAAACGCTGTGCAAGTGGCCGTGAATAATGTAGTGTGAGAGGGAAGTGCTCCTAGACATCCAGTCAGGCTGATGCTGACTCCTTCCCTCCTCCACCCATGGCAGCGGCAGACCCTTGTAAGACGGGCACTCTCAGGTGCGGCAATAATTCCAAGTGCGTTGTGAAGTACGGGCAGGGGAGTTGCGAGTGTGACGCCGGCTACACCAAGAGGAGTGGCCTCTGCACTGGTGAGCTCACTTAGGGATCTGCTTTAAAAATGTGTGACCAAGAGGCGAAGAGGTCAAAAGATAGTCCATTGTTTAGAGATAGTGTATGGGATCACAGTGCTTTCATGTGAGTCGAGCTTGAGTGCCTGTGGGGGTTCTGTGGCCTGCTCGTGCCCCTCCTCCTTCTAAGCACACTCCTCCTCATTTTCTCCTCTGCTCACCCCTCTCAGCTCATACTCTTTCCTCCCTCCCCCACCCCCCACCTCCCACCTGTGTCAGCCGTGTGCAAGCGGGCCTGCCCTGTGAATGCGCAGTGCACGGTGGAGAGAGGAAAGCCGGTGTGCCAGTGCAGGCAGGCTTTCAAAATGGAGAACAACAAGTGCACACGTAAGCGAGAGGGAGGGATCTCTTTCCGTGCACATCAGTTTGGGATATTCCACCATCCCCCCCTCCCACATGCACCCATGAACTCCCCACATGTCACATCCGTGCCATCTACTCTCACTGTTTGCCCCCTCAACTCCCTCCCACTCATTCTTCAATCTCTTCCTTCACTTCCTCCCCTCCACCCACTTCTCACGTGGCAGCCATATGCCAGGGTGGCTGCCCTGCCAATGCGCAGTGCAAGGTGGTGGGAGGCAGGGCGGCATGCCAGTGCAAGGCAGGGTTCCAAATGGATTATAACAACAAGTGCACTTGTAAGGGCCAGAAAGGGAAGGGTTGAGAGGGAGGAATAGGGAGGGGTCGAACTATGCGGTATCTTTCATTAGCTCCGCACCACTATCACCCTACATTCTTTGAGAATTCTCAAAAAACACGAGCTCCGCACCACTATCACCCTACATTCTTTGAGAATTCTCAAAAAACACGAGCTCCGCACCACTATCACCCCTACATTCTTTGAGAATTCTCAAAAAACACGAGCTCCGCACCACTATCACCCTACATTCTTTGAGAATTCTCAAAAAACACGAGCTCCGCACCACTATCACCCTACATTCTTTGAGAATTCTCAAAAAACACGAGCTCCGCACCACTATCACCCCTACATTCTTTGAGAATTCTCAAAAAACACGAGCTCCGCACCACTATCACCCTACATTCTTTGAGAATTCTCAAAAAACACGAGCTCCGCACCACTATCACCCTACATTCTTTGAGAATTCTCAAAAAACACGAGCTCCGCACCACTATCACCCTACATTCTTTGAGAATTCTCAAAAAACACGAGCTCCGCACCACTATCACCCTACATTCTTTGAGAATTCTCAAAGAACACGAGCTCCGCAAGTTGGATCTTACGTTTTCGGTTCCTTACGTTTTCGGACGATTACGACAATTTTTACGTTTACAAACGGTCGCCCTGATTCGGCCTTACGTTTACGGTCACCTGAAAACTTTTCTGAGCTGCCCGAGGAAAAAAAACGACCAGAGCATCAGGAAGATTCCCTCCAACCTAGTTCTGTAACTCCCTATCTTGTTCGACGTCAACCTAGCAGCTCGTTCGCAACCTATCGTGTTTCTCTCTTACTAACCCGGTCAACGCTGAATCTGAAACTTTCACAGACTTGAAAGGCGCTCCATACGTAGTAAAGTCGCTATTCTATGCAGGTACATGACAAATTAGTGGTAGGATCTGGTACCCGTACACAATCCAGAAAAAAAAATGTATCACATTAGTTTTTTTTTCCTGCCCGCCTCATACTCACGCGTAATTTTACGTTTCCGTTTACGTTTACGCTAAACTACGCGAAATTTACGTTTACGAGACCTCAAAAAACGTAAGAGACCAACTTAGACTCCGCACCACTATCACCCTACATTCTTTGAGAATTCTCAAAAAACACGAGCTCCGCACCACTATCACCCTACATTCTTCTTAAAGCCAGGGTCTCAAGTACTACAAGTGTTTTGCAGTTGCTGGTGAAAGTTGGGCTGCGATTGGTTGGCGAGGTGAAAGGTTTGAAGTGGGGAGAAGCGAGGGGTGCGAAGTGAACGCAAATCGTTGGGTGTACCCGAACCTTCTAGGTTTGGAAACTTGGTTCGGAGCCAAACCTAAAATGCCCCCAACTCATCGAAAGTCTCAAGTACTCAAAAGTGTTGTGCAATCGCTTCTGGGGTGTGTCGCAAGCTGATTTTTCAACCCAACCAGAAAGAACTTCGTCGGCAATAACTAGGTAACCTAGCGTCAACTGCTTTGCAGTTGACGGCTCCTTAGCTTACTTGAGACCCTGGCTTTAACTGATCACGCATCCACCATCCACATTTTGCTCCCATAGCTTGTCATTCCGTTTCATCTCCTGTTTCATGTCACTTCTTTCCTTGTGGGCTGCCCTGCCCTCCCATTCCACCTCTGTTTGCCACTCAAAGAGCTGAACGTGTGCTCTACAGAGGGGATGATGGACAAGCGAAGGAGGCGCAAGCTGGCAGTGCTGGAGGGTCATACGGAAGGTTTGGTGGACAAGCAAAGAACGGGCGTCAGAGGGACAACGGATGGGCAGGGGGCAAGGAGGCGCAAAATGGCAGACATAGGATCGGCGGGGGCTGATGGAGCAGAGGTGCGAGCAACTGCATGCGGTTGCTCGGAGGCCAGGAACCAACTTGACTGACGGTTGGCTGAGTTGTTTAGTGCATTTACCCTAGAGATGAGCTTACTTACGGTACATGCTTGGCTGGTTTGTTGTTGCTGGTTCCCTTTCAGTGAACATGAAGGCCGCTAAAGTGTGCTCAATGACACGACAATCACAACCTCTATATGCTGCTCGCTAGATGGCTTTGTTTGGGGCCACCTTGTGGGGCCACCTAGCAAGGGACAAGATCACCAACCTGGTTTGGCATAAAAAGGGCCGTCAATATCTCGATTTCACTACATCCCATTCGAGCGGTCGGTCCTAAGCACGTCTTCTTGAGCATGCTCCTGTTTACAACGTGATGGTAAGATACACTCGATGAAAACTGTCCAAGTAAAAAGATACCCAGGCTCAGGAGAAACCCTAGCCTAGGAAGGAGCATGTCGAGAGTGTCTCGCTATGAGAAGTGGAATTACAATTAGGCATAGGCAAAGGCACACAGAAGTTGTAACACTACACAATAGCTACACCAGCAGGCAGTATATGAAAATATATATCATAAAACATATTCTCTAACAATGGCCTACGGTATGACAAACCAAGCAGGGAACCTTATTCCTAGTGCAAGCACTAGATGACTCGGCTAACCATCAGCCGGAGTTGGTTCCTGGCCTCCGAGCAACCACATGCAGTTGCTCGCACCTCTGCTCCATCAGCCACGGCTGATCTGATGTCCCTCTGGCACTGCCAGCTTGCGCCTTCTTGCATCAAAAGTCATGCAGTTGCTCGCACCTCTGCTGCTCCATCAGCCACCGCCCATCTGATGTCTCCCTGGCACTGCCTGCTTGCGCCCCCTGCCCATCCAACTAAAGTCGCCCATTCTTTGCCCACCCTGCTGTCCAATTCTCATGTCCCTCTGGCGCTGCCAGCTTGCGCCTCCTTGGACTCTGGCTCATCAAACCAGGGTCACTCGCCCGTTCTTCGCTAGTCCACCAGTCCCTTCAAAGTAGAAATGAGTTGCTCGCTGAGTTGGAAAATATAGGTGAATGGAAGATGGCAGGTCAAGGTGACAAGAGGCAGAAGGTTAAGCCGGAGGTTGATCCATAATCATCAACGATTGAACATGACAACTGTGAAGAATATGTGGATGGTGGAGATTAAGGTATACTAGATCAGATTGTGAGGTGATAATGGTGGGAGCCTGATAAACATAGCATTTCGTTGAGCAGCAGGAGAAAGGAGGGAGCAGAGTGCCGGCAATGCGTGAAATGCATGAGGTTCAGGCGAGCTGCGCCAGCTGTTATAAGAGTAAGACAGAAGCGAGAGCATATGTGTCTTCCTCTCCCTTACATGTGCACTTGCTATTCGCCATTTGGAATCCCGCCTTGCACTGGCATGCCGGCTTGTTATTCACGCTTGGTCCCTTACGTGTGCACTTGCTATTCGCCATTTGGAATCCCGCCTTGCACTGGCATGCCGGCTTGTTATTCACGCTTGGTCCCTTACGTGTGCACTTGCTATTCGCCATTTGGAATCCCGCCTTGCACTGGCATGCCGGCTTGTTATTCACGCTTGGTCCCTTACGTGTGCACTTGCTATTCGCCATTTGGAATCCCGCCTTGCACTGGCATGCCGGCTTGTTATTCACGCTTGGTCCCTTACGTGTGCACTTGCTATTCGCCATTTGGAATCCCGCCTTGCACTGGCATGCCGGCTTGTTATTCACGCTTGGTCCCTTACGTGTGCACTTGCTATTCGCCATTTGGAATCCCGCCTTGCACTGGCATGCCGGCTTGTTATTCACGCTTGGTCCCTTACGTGTGCACTTGCTATTCGCCATTTGGAATCCCGCCTTGCACTGGCATGCCGGCTTGTTATTCACGCTTGGTCCCTTACGTGTGCACTTGCTATTCGCCATTTGGAATCCCGCCTTGCACTGGCATGCCGGCTTGTTATTCACGCTTGGTCCCTTACGTGTGCACTTGCTATTCGCCATTTGGAATCCCGCCTTGCACTGGCATGCCGGCTTGTTATTCACGCTTGGTCCCTTACGTGTGCACTTGCTATTCGCCATTTGGAATCCCGCCTTGCACTGGCATGCCGGCTTGTTATTCACGCTTGGTCCCTTACGTGTGCACTTGCTATTCGCCATTTGGAATCCCGCCTTGCACTGGCATGCCGGCTTGTTATTCACGCTTGGTCCCTTACGTGTGCACTTGCTATTCGCCATTTGGAATCCCGCCTTGCACTGGCATGCCGGCTTGTTATTCACGCTTGGTCCCTTACGTGTGCACTTGCTATTCGCCATTTGGAATCCCGCCTTGCACTGGCATGCCGGCTTGTTATTCACGCTTGGTCCCTTACGTGTGCACTTGCGATTCGCCATTTGGAATCCCGCCTTGCACTGGCATGCCGGCTTGTTATTCACGCTTGGTCCCTTACGTGTGCACTTGCTATTCGCCATTTGGAATCCCGCCTTGCACTGGCATGCCGGCTTGTTATTCACGCTTGGTCCCTTACGTGTGCATTTGCTATTCGCCATTTGGAATCCCGCCTTGCACTGGCATGCCGGCTTGTTATTCACGCTTGGTCCCTTACGTGTGCACTTGCTATTCGCCATTTGGAATCCCGCCTTGCACTGGCATGCCTGCTTGTTATTCACGCTTGGTCCCTTACGTGTGCACTTGCTATTCGCCATTTGGAATCCCGCCTTGCACTGGCATGCCGGCTTGTTATTCACGCTTGGTCCCTTACGTGTGCACTTGCTATTCGCCATTTGGAATCCCGCCTTGCACTGGCATGCCGGCTTGTTATTCACGCTTGGTCCCTTACGCGTGCACTTGCTATTCACCATTTGGAATCCCGCCTTGCACTGGCATGCCGGCTTGTTATTCACGCTTGGTCCCTTACGTGTGCACTTGCTATTCGCCATTTGGAATCCCGCCTTGCACTGGCATGCCGGCTTGTTATTCACGCTTGGTCCCTTACGTGTGCACTTGCTATTCGCCATTTGGAATCCCGCCTTGCACTGGCATGCCGGCTTGTTATTCACGCTTGGTCCCTTACGTGTGCACTTGCTATTCGCCATTTGGAATCCCGCCTTGCACTGGCATGCCGGCTTGTTATTCACGCTTGGTCCCTTACGTGTGCACTTGCTATTCGCCATTTGGAATCCCGCCTTGCACTGGCATGCCGGCTTGTTATTCACGCTTGGTCCCTTACGTGTGCACTTGCTATTCGCCATTTGGAATCCCGCCTTGCACTGGCATGCCGGCTTGTTATTCACGCTTGGTCCCTTACGTGTGCACTTGCTATTCGCCATTTGGAATCCCGCCTTGCACTGGCATGCCGGCTTGTTATTCACGCTTGGTCCCTTACGTGTGCATTTGCTATTCGCCATTTGGAATCCCGCCTTGCACTGGCATGCCGGCTTGTTATTCACGCTTGGTCCCTTACGTGTGCACTTGCTATTCGCCATTTGGAATCCCGCCTTGCACTGGCATGCCGGCTTGTTATTCACGCTTGGTCCCTTACGTGTGCACTTGCTATTCGCCATTTGGAATCCCGCCTTGCACTGGCATGCCGGCTTGTTATTCACGCTTGGTCCCTTACGTGTGCACTTGCTATTCGCCATTTGGAATCCCGCCTTGCACTGGCATGCCGGCTTGTTATTCACGCTTGGTCCCTTACGTGTGCATTTGCTATTCGCCATTTGGAATCCCGCCTTGCACTGGCATGCCGGCTTGTTATTCACGCTTGGTCCCTTACGTGTGCACTTGCTATTCGCCATTTGGAATCCCGCCTTGCACTGGCATGCCGGCTTGTTATTCACGCTTGGTCCCTTACGTGTGCACTTGCTATTCGCCATTTGGAATCCCGCCTTGCACTGGCATGCCGGCTTGTTATTCACGCTTGGTCCCTTACGTGTGCACTTGCTATTCGCCATTTGGAATCCCGCCTTGCACTGGCATGCCGGCTTGTTATTCACGCTTGGTCCCTTACGCGTGCACTTGCTATTCGCCATTTGGAATCCCGCCTTGCACTGGCATGCCGGCTTGTTATTCACGCTTGGTCCCTTACGTGTGCACTTGCTATTCGCCATTTGGAATCCCGCCTTGCACTGGCATGCCGGCTTGTTATTCACGCTTGGTCCCTTACGTGTGCACTTGCTATTCGCCATTTGGAATCCCGCCTTGCACTGGCATGCCGGCTTGTTATTCACGCTTGGTCCCTTACGTGTGCACTTGCTATTCGCCATTTGGAATCCCGCCTTGCACTGGCATGCCGGCTTGTTATTCACGCTTGGTCCCTTACGTGTGCACTTGCTATTCGCCATTTGGAATCCCGCCTTGCACTGGCATGCCGGCTTGTTATTCACGCTTGGTCCCTTACGTGTGCACTTGCTATTCGCCATTTGGAATCCCGCCTTGCACTGGCATGCCGGCTTGTTATTCACGCTTGGTCCCTTACGTGTGCACTTGCTATTCGCCATTTGGAATCTCGCCTTGCACTGGCATGCCGGCTTGTTATTCACGCTTGGTCCCTTACGTGTGCACTTGCTATTCGCCATTTGGAATCCCGCCTTGCACTGGCATGCCGGCTTGTTATTCACGCTTGGTCCCTTACGTGTGCACTTGCTATTCGCCATTTGGAATCCCGCCTTGCACTGGCATGCCGGCTTGTTATTCACGCTTGGTCCCTTACGCGTGCACTTGCTATTCGCCATTTGGAATCCCGCCTTGCACTGGCATGCCGGCTTGTTATTCACGCTTGGTCCCTTACGTGTGCACTTGCTATTCGCCATTTGGAATCCCGCCTTGCACTGGCATGCCGGCTTGTTATTCACGCTTGGTCCCTTACGTGTGCACTTGCTATTCGCCATTTGGAATCCCGCCTTGCACTGGCATGCCGGCTTGTTATTCACGCTTGGTCCCTTACGTGTGCACTTGCTATTCGCCATTTGGAATCCCGCCTTGCACTGGCATGCCGGCTTGTTATTCACGCTTGGTCCCTTACGTGTGCACTTGCTATTCGCCATTTGGAATCCCGCCTTGCACTGACAGGGCAGGCGGGATTGCATACGGCTGCCACATGTGGTGAGCGGGGGGGGGGGGGAGGGGGGGGGGGCGGGGGGAGGGGGGGGGGTTGCACCATGCAGGTGAATGAATAAATTGGAGGATGAGTGGGGCAAGACATGGAGGGCATTTAGATACAGTGAGAGTAGATGGCACGGATGTGTGCATTGGGTTGTTCTTGGGTGCATGGGAGTGGTAGAGATAGTGAGATTAGTTGAACTGGGCTGCTGCATTCTCCATAAATCCATCCCACTGCCTTACGTGTGCACTTGCTCTTCTCCATTTTGGATCCTTGCTTGCACTGACACAACGGACTTGGTTGCATGTGGGAGGTGGAGATGGTGGGACAAGTCAAACTTGTGCGCACGGAAATAAATCCCTCCCTCTCACTTACGTGTGCATTTGTTTTTCTCCATTTTGGATCCTTGCTTGCACTGACACACCGGACTTGGGTGCATGTGGGTGGTGGAGATGGTGGGATAAGTCAAACTTGTGTGCACTGAAAGAAATGCCTCCCTCTCTCTTACGTATGCACTTGCTCTTCTCCATTTTGAAACCTTGCTTGCACCGACACACCAGATTCCCTCCCACCACCGTGCACTGGGCATTAACAGGGCAGGCTGGGTTGCATATGGCTGGCGTGGGTGGGAGGTGGGAGGTGGGAGGTCAGGGAGAGGGGAAAGAGCATGAGGCTGAGTGGGGCAGCAGGCGGGGAAACTGAAAGGAGTGGCTTGGGAGCAGGGGAAAGAGGATCCCAAAGAACCACCACCAGCAGCCTAAACTCTTTGATCACCAGCCTTTGAAGCAAAGTCCTGGTTGAGCTCACCAGTGCAGAGGCCGTTCTTCTTGGTGTAGCCGACGTCACACTCGCAAAGTTTTGAGACGTCTCGAAACTGACGGTCTAAACTCTTTGGTCACCAGGCAGGCATTGAAGCAGAGTCCCGGTTGAGCTCACCAGTGCAGAGGCCGTTCTTCTTGGTGTAGCCGGCGTCACACTCGCACATCCCCTGCCCGTTCTTCACAACGCATTTCGAGTTCTTGTCGCACTTCACCATGCCTGCCTTGCAAGGGTCTGATTCTGCCGTGGGTGGACGCGGGAAGGAGTTAGCATCGGATTGACAGGACGTCTAAGCGCAGCATCAGATTGACAGGACGTCTAAGCGCAGTTGTGTGTGATAAGTCGAGTTTTGAGTCGACTCAAAACTCGACTTATCACACGTGGGTGGACGAGGGAAGGAGTTAGCATCAGATTGACAGGACGTCTAAGCGCAGTTCTCTTTGTGACCAGGAGCACTGTTCTTTCTGTTCTCACTGCCATTCTTTTGCACAAAGGTTGGTCCAACGCTTTGTTAGTTGGCAAACGTGCAGCAAAACTCAAAGAGGCGTACCAGGAGTGAAAGACTTGTTAATGCAGGTTCTCTCAGCTTCAATGAACGCGAAGCCCCAGGGGCACTTGCACTGGGGCTTGCCCTCCTTCACAACACACTCAGCAGTTCCGCAATCCTTGTGACATGTGGCTGTTGTGGGCACCACAGGGGGGACAAACAATCCAGGAATATGGACACGGGTAAGCAACCAAGTCTTCTCAGCATCGGGAGGCGAGGAAGAGAAATGAGGGGTTGGGCTTGTGTCTCGCTCTCTCTTACCCATTCTCTCACATACTGGTCCCGTAAGCAGATTGCGTGCTTTAGGATCTTCTAAGGGTGCATTCCTGTGTCGACATTTGTGTCTCAATCGCTTTGTGACACCCAAAAACAACATGAACTGTAGTTTGTCCCAAATGCGAGTCGCCTTTGAGCGACCATCGCTGTATTTTCCATTGGTCAACGTGAAATGAGCTGACGTCGTTGACGAATTGAAAATCGACCCGTCATTTTTTAAAAATCGCATGCGGTTCGCAATGTCAATGCACCTGGACAGCGCACAATGCTAAATTTCGCGGGGGAAACAATCCCGCGCGTCGAAATCTCACCCCAGCCAAGCGGTTGAAGAAACGGGTGTACAGTCATTTGTGTCACCCAATCAAATGCTTTCAACTTTACATTTCGCCTGGTCGCCCAGTGTCGCGATACATTCATTGTTTGTGACGCGAGATTGACAATTCTTTTCGACGCAACTCGGGAAAAAGGGCATTGAGACACAAATGTCGACACAGGAATGCGCCCTAAGTGTCCACATGAAACTTAAGAAAAAAACTGATGGACACGACATGATTCTCGGACAAGTCCTAAACAAGTGTTTTGAATTTAACGACATGTGCTTGCACTTACTGATCTCGCAACCAACTGATTTCGGCAGATCCGTTGCTTTGACAGTTCTGAGAGGGAAAAGGGTATGGACAGGGAAGAAGGTAAAGACAGGGAAGAAGGTAAGAAGGTAAGGACAGGGAAGACCATATGCAAGGAAAACTTACGACATTCACTCACATTCATGCGACAACAGGAAAGAGGATGTTGGTGACTTAAGTTGGACCTTTTCGTATGCGCTAGAAGCACACACACTATGTGGCGCACTTCATGTGGCGTGCGTCAACCTCACACACCTTTCCGTGATGGGGTAGAAAGATGACTTGTGAGTTCACTCAGCTCACGCTCACACACCTTTCCGTGACGGGGTAGAAACGGCCAACCATCGCAGGCCGCACGATCGTCAGCCCCGGCTTGTCCGCACAGCCCGGGTCGTCGTGGAACATCACGCTCTTGCACATGCCGATGCCAGCCGCAGCAACGCTGGAGTCGTCCCACGCGACGGTAATCATGGTGTCGCCACCGTAGTTGAAGCTGAAGCTCAGGTCGCTGCACGTGGTGGTGCCGCTGGCTCGCTCTGCTGGCACCGACGTCTCAAAGTCTAGGTTCTCCACGTAGCCTAGTAGGTCCTTCACCTGCAGCTGCACCGTCGTCCGGAGGAAGGGGCCTGAGTGTCGGTCGCCGCGACCGTTGACACAATGGTTGGTGCCGCAATGCCGTACCGTGGCCGTTGAGCGGAGGGTTTGGAGAAGATGATGGGGGTTTGGAGGCATCGCGTTGGTAGCGGCAGAGAAGAAGGAAGAGGGAGGGAGTAGGCAGAGGGGAAGGTGCGGGGAGGAGTGAGGAGAAGTAATAAGTAACTCAGCTTGTTAGTGGAATAGTGCGTGTGCTGAGCTGAATAGTTGTCAGGCAGAAGAGCTGACTGCTGAAGTTAGTCTGTTTCGAAAAATGTATCGTCCCCAACTCACCAGAGGGCACTAACCGGAGCAGCACTCATTGTAGCAGAACTCACCGTAGCACGTCTTGTCAATCTGGTCGAAGATCAAGCCACTATCAAGGCATCCGCACTCGGCAGTGCCATTTAGCCCCACACTGCAGACACCATCGCCGCAGTCCTTTCTAGCACACGGGTCTGCAAGAGGAATCATGGGTAGTTGCGAGAAGGCACAGGGAAAGGAGGGTAGAAGCAGGTTTTGTTTTCTGATAACGTGCAGTCGCTGACCTTACAACACTCACTCACTGGCACTCACCGATGCAGAACTCACCGTAGCACGTCTTGTTAATCTGGTCGAAGATCAAGCCACCAAGGCATCGGCACTCGGCAGTGCCATTTTTCCCCACACTGCAAATACCCTCGCCGCAATCCTTTGTACCATACGGGCCTGCAGGAGAGGAGGAATCAGGGGGGACTTTTGAGACGTCTCAAAGGTCAAGCAATCAAGGCACCCGCACTCGGCAGTGCCATTTTGCCCCACACTGCAGAAACCACAATCGAGCCCGCAGTCCTTCTTATCACACGGGCCTGCAGGCGGAATCATGGGTAGTTGCGAGAAGGCGCAGGGAAAGGAGGGTAAAAGAAGGGTTTGTTTTCTTCTGATAACGTGCAGTCACTGACCGACCGGCCAACACTCACTCACTGGCACTCACCCACTCGCTATTTTTGAGGCGCCGAAAAAAAATGCAATCACTGGCCTTCCACCACTCACTCACTGGCACTCACCATGGGAGCTGGAAATGTTTGAGATGTGTGTAATACAGGTGCACGGTGACGCTGCATCGAAGTGGCGATGCTGCTGGAATGTCTCAAATTTATCTGTTCCAATGTGTCCCCTTAGGGAAAAGGGGCCACAAGATCAGAGATTTCTCTGACGATGTCACACTCCAGCACCACGCACACTCCAGCACTCACCACCATCGCATGTCTTGTCAGAATCGTTGAAGGTAGAACCATCCAAGCACTGGCACACACCAGTCCCGTTAACAGGCACACACGTAGCATTGGTCCCACAATCCTTGCTGAGGCACACGTCTGCACAGGAGAAGAAGGGTTGTTTCGAGGTAAAGCATGGAAAGTCGTTACAAGTGCAGAGATCCTTCTAATCATTCGATGTTCGTTGCCCTCACCCACACTACGGCCGTCCCAACTGGCAGTCAGCATACTCACCATCAACAGCGCTGGCTTGGGTCGCGAGGAGAAGCAGTTAAGTGCCATGGCATTGCCAGTGATGTGTGGCAGTCAGCCTACTACTCACCATCAACAGCGCTGGCGTGGGTCGCGAGGAAGCTGATGGCAACGACACCCGCGACGAGTGCGGCGAGGCCACACAGGCCGGACAGGCCAGACCGCCGCCCGTAGGGCTTCATGACGACAGGAGAGGACTCGGCCGGGGAAAACGAAGAGGTGGGGATCAACGATCACGGCGGAGCGATGACAAAACGTTTTGCTGGTCGCCCTACGCAGACGGCCCGGGGAAACGGGGAGATGGGAGTCTACGTGAGTCGCGGCAGTGCGACGTGGAAACGGGGAGACGGGGAGTCGACGTGTGAGTCGCGGGCAGTGCGATGTGCCGTGAGATTGGTTGGGAGCTTAGAATTGCGAGTCAGAAAGGAGGAGAGAAAGCACGCAATGACTAGCGAGCAGCGGTGTGAGAATGGATTTCGGACTTCGGGAAGCGTTCGCCGATTTATGTGCTGACGTGAGTGGGCAATCCCCGCACATTGATTCTTATTGCTCCTATAATTCCAATCAACCTGACTCTCGCGCAGCGCCTCCGGATTCGCAGATAATGCAACGCCTTTCGTTGCGGAAAAGGGTGGGGCGCGCCGAGGGAGGCGCAGCAGGGGACACATAGCGGCCCGCGCAAGGAGGGAGTTGAGAGGGGGGGTGAGGGAGGCGTCTCCTGCGCCGCCGGCCGTGGAACGTGCATTTACATCGGATTGGGTAGTGGTAGTAGGAGTCAGGGTGTAGTACTACTAGCGAGTTTCGTCGGCGCGAGGTGCGGGCTACTACTAATCAAACGGCGAGGAGGGATTCAAACTCCGCGACTGCGCGCAGGGCGAAAGGCTTCTGCCACGCACACCAGGGCAGCGAGAACTGCGGAACTTGCGGGAGTGATTTATCATAGATAGCATTATTGTTACGTGTGCGATTGAACAATGTGCGCGAATGGATGAGCGAAGATTACTCATCTTGCACAATGGGAGTCTTGGTACCAAACACGCCTGGACTTTGCTGACTCAGGGAAGGAACACAATATTGTGAGAAGTCGGACTTTGCTGACTCGAGAAAGAACATCGGGTATTGGGTATTGCGAAAAGTTGTACCTTGCTGACTAGAGGTACCGTACGGTAATAGTTTCACCTACCACCCAGCACTCAACATTAGGGCGCATGAAGGCGCGTGTCTTTTGGTGTAGAAGTTTAAAAAAAGTTCAACTTCTGGCTGGTAACTATTTTAGCTAATTTCGTCAAAGGTTGTTAGCTATGTTCGTGTGTCCAAGTTCAAAGTTGATGAATTTGTAGGACACTGAACTGAGGTCTAATTTTGCGGCAACGTGTATCCAAACGTGTGTTCTTCTGCTCGTGCACAGTGAATTTTCGAACTGCACGAAAAAATATAGAATGATATTTTATGAGGTTACGGAAGCCGGATTCGGTGACGAACTACGCTGCCTAGGCAGGGTAACCTACGAAACCTTGGCGCGACTAGTGATTTACTGTACACAGTCGAACTTTGTTGTGCCAAGTGCTTGATGTGAAAGATTAGCTGCGATTTGACCACAAAATTTTCGATAGTCGACCACAGGTCGACCAAAGTTCAAACGTGAAAAGCTGAGCAAAAACACTTGAACTTCATAAACACTCCAAAAGACTCGCGCCCTCATAGTTTTGCTCAGATCTTCTCGACAAAGGTACGATAGCACGGTTACCTTTTTAGCCAGATGTCACAAACTTCTTCGTATGAGGGTGCATTCCTGAAGCGTGTCACAAAGGCCTCGCGTCTCAATCTAAGAGATGCAGTGCGGTGGAAATGTTCGACACTTAAGTGTAATGCGGTGCAGACTGGTACAGAGGTTGTATGACGCGATTGAGACATTTGTGTCAAAAGCGGAATGAACCCTGACCCCATCTACGTTGCAGGCGTCCGGGCACTTCGAACACTTTTAGCCCAAAATGGGTTCCCGCCACCGCTTTCCTAGAGGGGATTTCGTCAAAACATGGTTGGTCCGGACGTCATTGGTCCGGACGAGAAACGGAAAGTTTGGCAGCTTGGTTCGAACATTTCACGGTTCACGAAAAATCGTTACACACCCATGCAAACGGCAACACCCGATTTCGAGCTAATTAATGCAATGCTGGCAAAAAGGCTCGGTCTAGTCCAGAGCGACCCCAACCACTTCTCCTACGAGTGTCCCGATCGCGACGACTCCGACGACGACGACCGCAGAGGAGGCCGCGGGAAGTCGGCCAACGGCTGTCGAAGTCAGGACAAAAGGCCGCGCAAGGAGAAGCTGGCGTCGAAGAAGAAGTCGTCGATGAAGGACGTCGACTCCTCCAGCGGCAAGGGTCGAGGCGACGAGGAGGCGTCATGCTCGATGGTCGGCGTTGTGGAGCCGACAGTTTTGCTGGCGCCGGAAGCCAGTGAAGACTTCAAGGAGGTCTCAGCCGCCATGCAAGTGAACCCGACGGTGGTGCTGCTCGACAGCGGCTGCTCGCACCACCTCATTGGGAAGAAGGAGGCCTTCGTCGACATGGCGCCGAGCGGCGACGTGAGGCATGTGCGCGGCTTCAACGGGTCTCTGCAAACCGTCGAAGGCCGCGACACCGTCGCTCAGCAAGGGGAGGCCGGGAAGCAGGTCCTCGTCCCCAAGGTGCTCTCATCCCGGGCGTACAGACGAACCTGCTGTCAGCCGGCCAGCTGAAGGACAGCGGTGTGAAGCTGCAGGACGACGGTGACGAGATGCTGCTCGTCACGGCGGCAGGAGAGGTGCTTGGTCGAGCGCGATACGCCGGCCGGGTCCTCTGCATCGATCTACGTCCCTGCTCGACGAAGTCGCCACCGACCGAGGTGGTGGATCTGCGGACGATCGCTTCCGTGACGAAGTCGACGCCGGACATATGGCATGAGAGGCTCACGCACGTTGGCTTCGACACGACCAAGAGCTTGGCTAAGCACGAATGGAGTTCGTGATGGACGAGGAAATCCGGAGCCTCGTCGCCAACGGCAAGTAGGAGTTGGTCGAGCGGTACCACACCGATGAACATCATGAAGAATTGGTAGGTGCTGATGACGAAGTACCACACCGATGACACGGTGACCCGCGAGAAGGTGAGGCTGGTCGTGAAGGGCCTCACACAGGTGTACGGCGTTGACTACGACAACACGTACGCGCCGGTCGGGAGCTACGTCACGCTGAGGATCTTCCTAAGCATCGTCGCCGTCCTTGACCTCAACTTGATGCAGCTCGACATGAGGAACGCGTTCCTGCAAAGCAAGCTCGATCGCGTGCTCTACATGTACCGGCCGGACTACTACAACGACGGAACCGGCCGAGTGTGCAAGCTGCTGAAGACCCTCTACTAGCTAAAGCAGTCGCTGCTGTTGTGGTACTCGGCGCTGGATGCGGTGCTGACCTGCTCCAACTGGAAAAAAGCCAGGTCAACGAGTCGTTGTACTTCAAGATTGGCGATGATGGAGTGACCTGCTGGGTGCTACTCCATATCGACGACCTGCTCGCCGTCAGCAGCAGCCTCGCGATGCTGAAGAACTGATGGAGCTGCTGGAGGCCGCCTTTGAGCTACGCGAGATCAGCCTTGTTGAGAAGTATCTCAAGCTAGAAATTGTGCGAGACCGGCCGGTGGGGAAGTTGTGGCTGCACCAGCAGTCGTACGTCGACAAGCTGCGCAGGCGTTTCATCGACGAGGAGCAGACCGGGCGGATCCCGAAGATGCCACTCTCCGTCGATGCCTACGCCGAGCTGACTTTCGACGACGCGGACACTCATTCGCGCGAGGAAGAGGAGTACCGGCAGAAGGTCGGTTCGCTGCAGTTCGCGGCGACGACGACGAGGCTGGATATCGCCTTCGCGTTTAGCAAGCTGGGGAGTGGCCTGACAGTGAGAAGCGACCAGCATTGGCGCGAGGTAGACCCCTGCCTCACCTACCTCACCGACACCCGTGTTTCCTTCCTAGATTTCGGGGGTGAACCAGAGTCGTTGTTTTTGGTTGGCTACGGTGACGCTCACGACGCCGGTGACAAGCAGAACCGAACGAGCATGGGCGGCTACGTGTACGTCACCAGAGGGGCCGCCGTCTCCTGGTCGAGCCAACGCATGTAGTGCGCGACGCTCTCATCGACCGAGTCGGAGTATGTCGCGGCTAC